GAAGGAAGGAAGGAAGGAAGGAAGGAAGGAAGGAAGGAAGGAAGGAAGGAAGGAAAGCTTGCATAGGGTCACTAGGGCGGATCCTGACACGGTCACTCCCTTTCCCCACCCTACCTCGCAGGGCTGTAGTGAGGACAAAATGGGTGGGAGGGAGGGCACCAACCAAGGAAGGCAGGGGCGTCTCTTCCCCGCCGCGCTACCTACTCTCCAGGTCGCTGATGATCTGGTCGTTGTGCAGCTTGACCGCCCGGTGCTGCTCCACCTGGTCTTCCAGCTCGAAGATGGTCTCCTTCAGGTTCTTCATCTCCGCCTCGTTCTCCGAGTTCCTCTCCTGCAATTTGAGACCCGTCTGGCTCAGCTGCTCGGCCTGCCCGTCGCACGTCTCCTTCAGCTGCTCCCGTTCCTTCTCGACCTGGGAAAGCGGAGGCACGTTGGAGGCGTGAAAAGGAGACGGGGGAGGGTGCCGGGAAGCCCCCTGAGATCCCACGGGGACCCAGGAGCCATTTAGGGTCACCAGACCTGGAGACCTTGGGCGGGCCGTGCAGATCCCCAAGTCGTGGAGGCAGAACTCAGTCAGCCGCTGGCTTCGCTGCATTTCCGTGACCTGCCGACCCACCTCGCTTCGGGGCCACTGTGGGCTAGCTTCCTTGGGGCTTTCGGGGGACAGGTAAACTCGGCTTAGTCCGGGGAGTGTTCGATTCCGTGCCATGTGCCAACCCAGACAATTGGTTTCTTTGGTAACCGGGTTTAAGCAGGTTGTGAGAATGCGGCCATTGGGGGAGGGAGGGAAGAGAGGAAGGAGGGGCTGGATGCTGTGGGAATCCCATGCAGGGTCCAGAACTGATGCGTAAGAAGCCTCGGCTTGTCTGCGCTCCGTGTGCCTGGCGGACTTGGTGTCGGCAAACTGGCGCTTTGTTTGGGAACAGGCACACCAGTGACAACCTTCTCCAGAACAGCCATTTGAACATGGCCGTTTTGCAAACCTTGAACGCGTTCCCATGTAAGAAGGAAGAAGCGTTGCAAACAACCGTTGCGACCTGAGATGCCGTGTGTCCCTCGCCCCTGCCCCCTTCCTCCCCTTTTTCACCCCAGCCATTTCCATCCCCACCACGCTCCGTGGCTGGGGAGCCATTCCAGCGTCCCCTCGGTTTGCTCTGTAAAATAAGACTCTTGCATCTCCCTGAGCCCACACTAGCGGCGGGTGATGTCATTTTGGCTGCAAATCAGCCTCGCTCATGAGCTAATAGGAGTGAAACTAAAACAGCCCCAATAATCCCCACATCTGGGAGGGCGCATTGGTGCGCCAGGCTGAAGGCTTTTCTTTGACATGCTAGTTTTCTATGCAAAGTTTACACAGATATATAAATAAGGGTGCAACCCCTCTTACATGTTAAGGCTTTCTCATTGAAGGTCACAGACCATTATCCGCCACACTGATCCAATGCGGGCTGGTAGGTAGATGTTTTTTGACTTCCTAGTCTAGGGCTAAAGAGAGGGGCAGCCCAAAATCCCCCGGGGGGGGGGGGCCAAGGTTGGGGGGGGGACAGACCAGAACCTGCTAGTCCAGCACCTATAACCATTATACCGGTGTTTTTCAATTGTCTGGGTTGCTTGGAGAGTTTCCAATCCCTGCAAATCCAGTGGGGAGATCGGACAACACACACACGCACGCGTGCGCGCACACACACACACCATTTTCCAGGAGGTGCAAGATGGCTGCTGGTCTGGGGCCACTCCCTGATTGGTCTGGTTCCAAGTACAGCAGAGGCAAAGGTTTATTGCTGGCTTGGGTTACAAGTCCAAGATTTGCCGAGAGAATTGCTGTGCATACATGCGCACCGAGCCGAGCACAGCGTAAACACCTGGGCTCGGGCAGAGAAGCAAAAAATAAATCACCAAAGAGGCTGGTCTGGCAGGACAAGAGGAGAGAACACGGAAGGGCCGGGCCGGGCCAGGCAAGGCAGGAACAGCCAAAAACATTTGCAAAACAGCCAGGCTGATGCCAGAGTTACTGGCCGAGTGGGGCACTCTTCTAATGCAGGGTTAGGCAGGTTTTTCATATTTAAGCAGCCTCTTTCACCCACTGGGAGCCCTGCTCTATGCAGTTCGGGATGGTCTGCAAATGTAGAGGGAAGAGGGAAGGGCCTTGAGGGGCAGGAGGAAAAGCCACCACTAAGACAACGGTTGGATAAAGGAGGACTAAGTCCAGGGCAGGAACGTAACCTGAGAAAGCGTTTCAGACAAGAACCTCCCTAGTTCTCATGAAGATAAAGTGGGGGGTGGGGGAGCGCATTCAGACTTACAAGATTCTGTTACTATCGCTTTGCAATGAACATGACATGGGTTTTCTAGAAGGGCTGGCAGACCCCTCCTCAAATATCACATGGAAACCCTCAGGGGGAAACATCTTCATCCGCATCTTAAATGAGAAGGTACGTTGTGGTCGGTACAGTTAGGGAAAGAGCTGGCATCAGGGAAACACTCATTGGAAAACCCTGCAACGAATTCACTGACTTGTCAAAACGTAAAAAGTTGGCTGATTAAAATACTAAGGTGGCTGGGGGACGTTAAGAGCTACGGGCATTAGGCCAACATGCTTTGAAAGTATTCTGATATTATATGAGATACAGTGAAAGGAAACAGTTAAAGGCCCTACTTCTATAAAGGAAAGGAAAACTGTCCGAAAATATGCCAGACATGGATCCTGCCCCGCTAATGAAGACAGGAAAAAAGCAGGAAGGATTTTTACCAGCCCGCAGAGTCGCTTCTTCAGATAAACCCTGCCAAATTGCGGTAGGGAAGTGGGGCAGGAACTCACGAGAGTGCCAGCTCTACCCTGCCCTAGGCAGCCATTCTCACCCCGCTGGTGCAACCTGGGCAACTTCCAGATATGTGGATTTCAACTCCCAGAATCCCCCAGGCTGCGCAGCCATTGCTGAGAATTCTGGGAGGTAAAGATGTAACTTGGGGAAAGGCTACGATAGCGGAATATTCTCCCTTCTGTCTGGTTCAAATCCTGCGCACCTTCCTGTCCCTCTTGCAACTTTTAGTTATCTTTGGAAGGGTAACCCCGCTTGGTTTCTGGCCACGGGACACTTTTGACGGTCTCATTCAAGACCACCTTGGATCTCCGATCGATGCAGACCGAGCATCGTGGAAAAGCAACCGGCTACCATTCTTTCGACAGAATTCGAAGGTATCGTCACAGCTAGCAGCCCGCGGGATTAGGCCAAATGTCCAACATGTGCAGAATTCTGCTCCCCCCACCCAGAAGCCCACAAGGAGGACTCTAGGGCCACGGCGCCTTCCTGCTGTGAGCTTTTCAGGTACACTGCTGCTGACACTGGAGGCTCCACTGGAAGCCTTACCTTGGCCAGCTGCCCTTGCAGCGTCTTCACTTCGCTATGGGCCTTCAGCAGCTCTTGCCTCAGCTCCGTGCAGGCTCGTTCCAACTGGTCCCTCTCGGCTCGGATTCCTCGCAGCATCTCGTGCACGTCGGAGCCGCTCGCCGCGTGCTCCATGGCGTCCATCGCGGCGGCTTTTCGCTTCTCGCTGTCCAGCTGGGACCGGAGCGACTCGCTCTCAATCTTCAGCCCTTCCAGGTGGACCTTGCAGTCTTCCAGAGTCCTCGCCAGGGCGGAGTTGTTCTGCCGCTCGGTCTCCAGCAGGCCGCCCAGCCGCTTGGCCTCCTCCCCCAGGCTCTTGACCGCCCCCTGGGCTTCCTGGTGCTCCCTCTCCAGGCTCCTCAAGCTGCTGGTGAGCTGCTGCTGGATGTTCAGCATCTTCTCCCGCTCGAACTGGGCCTTCTCCTGCAGCTCGGCGCACTTCAGCTCCAGCTCGTGGGCCTTGGCTTTGCTCTCGTCAGCCTTCGGGCGCTCCTGCAGGAGGGCGGTCAGCTTCTCGTTCTCTTGGCTCAGCTGCTCGGCTCGGTCCCGGTGCTGGCAGAAGGAGCTCTCCAGGATGGCCTTCTCCTCCGCCAGCTTCTCGTTCTCAGCCGTCAGCTCCTGCACCACCTGCTGCTGGTCGGAGAGCTCCTGCAGCGTGGCTTGCAGCTCCTCCGCCGTGCAGTGGTGGTTCTCCTCCATCCGCTGTATCCTCTCCGTAAGAGAGGCCACCGAGAGGTCGCTGACGTTGTTCGGCGAGCTCCCGGAGGTGGAACATCTCGACGTCTTGAAGACGTTGCTGCTAGAAGACGCGGGCCTCGAGGGGACGTCCACGATGTGCTCGAAATCCGAGGCATCGGGAGACAAGGAGGCTTTGGTAACGTCGCTGCTGGAAGAACCCGAGTTGCGCAGAGGAGGCCCATTGACGCAGGGGCTCCCGCCGTTGGCGTTGCTGCAAAGGGACGGCTGTGTTGGGCTTCCAAAGCTGGACTCTTGCGTGGTGGGGGTGGGCAGGCTGCTGCTGCTGATGGTGTCCGAAAGCGGCGAATGCTCCCGTTGGCTCAGCTTCTCCTTCAAGAGCCGGTTCTCCTCGCCGAGGTTCAAGAGCTCCCTCTGGAAAGACTTGTTCTTTTCCTGAAGGGCCTGGATCAGGGATTCCACCTCGGCTGGCAGACCGTCCACGGGTTGGTCCACCAGACCAGCCAGGTCCTTGTCCTGGTGCTTCTTCAGCTCGTTGCGAAGCTTGGTGATCTCAGAATCTTTCGCCTTGGCTTCGGCCAGGAGCTCCTTGACCTGGGACGCCAGGCCCGCCTTCTCTCCAGCTTCCGCCTCATTCTTGGGCTTGAGGGAAGGCCGCGAATGCTTGGTGGGGGTTGGCGCCCCAGAAGACGTCGGGCTGGGCTGAGCCTTCCTGGGCCTCAGGACCGCCTTTTCTCGGGCGACGGCGCTTGGCAGCTCCCGCGGTGCAGGGATCCCAGTGCGCTTGGAGGCCGGGGTGGAACCTAGGAGAGGAAAGGAGATACGCTGGTGAACCGGCTGCGTTGGGGGGTGGGAGGCATGGTTCCCCGCCCACCAGGAGCATGCAAGGTGAAACTCATCACGAAGGAAGCCGCAGAGGGAGGAATCGCGCCGCCTTCGGCTCAGCGATGGCTGAGCTACCCCTGGATGTAGAAATAAGGGGGATCTGCTTCCCCCAAAAAATGAGCTTGCAAGAAATGACTGAGGTTCACAGAACCGCAGAGCTGGAAGGGGCTCTTTCGGGACGTTTCCTAACTCTCCAGCGGGATCTCCCTTCCTGAGCCTTGAATCCATCATTCGGCGTCCTGCGCTCGGGCACGGACGGTCCTGCTAATTAGAGGGTGCCACCTGAAGGGACCCAGGAAGGGGCTTTCCCTGTCACAGTGCTTGTGCCCTCTGGTGCAGAGCGGTCCCCCCAGAGATTCATACGGCCCCCACCCTGACGCTCATCAAAGAAACCCTTAAAACCTGGCTGTTCCCCACAGACCTTGGGCCTCTCATGGGATTTTTTCCCCCAGTTGTTTGTTTTGTAGGATCTTTGTATTATACTATTTTTAATTTCTCACACAGACAAACAGGTCTTGTTCTATTTGAAATCCATTCAGGCCTCTGAGCGTGGCTGTGCCACCCTGCTCTGCCCCCTTTCCTCAAGGCTAAGCGGGCCCAGCTCCCACCAGCTCTCTTCCGAAGAGTTCGTTTTCAGCTCCCCGATCCTTCTCAGTGCCCTTCTCTTGCCCCAGTTCGTTTCTCTGACTCTTTCTGAAAATGTAGTGGTAGAACCGGACGCTGTCCTTAAGGTAGAATAAAGTAGTGTTTTATTGGAAATGACATTTTTATTGATGCAGTCTAAAACTGCACTTGCCTTTTTCGCAGACTCATTATGCAGCTGGCTCATGTTAAGTTTGCAATTAGCTACTATTCAAAGATCTTTTTTGGCAAATACTGTACCGAACCAGGTATCCCCCACGCTTAACCTCTGCATCTGATTTTTGTTTCCTTAGGGATTTTGTTTCCTTAAGCACTTTTCTCCGTTAAATTTCATTCTCTCACACATCACGCCATGGTTACTTGAATAAACTACAGCCTGCTGCGT